GCTGAGGATTGGGGAAACCCTATGGCCCGAGGTTCGAGCCCCATTAGCGCCATCCAGCTTTGGTGGCAGGCAGCTTTACTGTAGTCCGGTTCAATACCACGCCTAACCTAACGAGGCCTTATGTGGTTTGCTACTCTGAGTCCCACGGACGTTAGGTTACCGCGTTCCATCAATGAACAGCAGGTCCTTGGGACTAGTTGATGCACCCCGTCTGCTGTTCATCACTTTCCGATGTGGCAAGTTCGCAGGCAAATCCCGTATTGACTTCGGTCTAGTTTGTGAAGAGGTGAAAAACCATTTGCATTTCATCAGGGAATATAAAAATTGATACGCACAAACAGATACATACGAGAATATCACATTAGAACGTATCGCAACAAGCGTAGTTGAAACAAAACCATCAAGCTAATAATTGGATGGTACCAAAAGTCTAAAAAACAGAAACTTAAAAATGCTGTCTCACGCAACTGTCCTATTCAGTTGACCGGAAGGAAATTGTGTGTAACATCCAATTGTTTTCCACTGAAGCAGCAATAAAGAAACACCTGCACACACAAACAAACAATTCACTGTCACCGGAAAGTAAACATCTCTTTCCTATAACCTCTAACTTCTCGCGTACTTTGTCACAGTACACCGTTACCAATACAGATTAGTACCGTTAATAAGATGGTAGTAGTAATTTAAGCTTGTATTTCTTCATGAAAACTACAAAGTTTATCCGCACAATTTTTCACACTAAATCTATTCGTAATTCAATGTGTAAACAGCGCAGTTTATCGTTTTTTAATTTCGGTATAATTTTAGCTTCATTTTTTATTTTCATACCACCGTAAAATTTGTTACTTCGTATACATATTTCTCAATCTCACAGGTTCGTTTCCCCGCTCACGTGAGCAGTGAGCTGAAAAATTTGCTCAAACAACTCCTACAAACTGATCTGACCAAACGATTTGGAAATTTGAAAAACGGAGTTAACGATATCAAATGCCACAAATGGTTTCGACCGATCAATTGGGTATCGATTTATCGGAAAGAGGTGAATATTGATCCATGTTTAGAGGAAATATGTATGTATGTGTAGTTCTTATGGATTTATTCGCATTTGCACGAAACAAACAAATAGACAGTTGGCGGTGGGAATAGCCCATACTAGAATCTCGTGTGGTTATTCCGTCACCCCACCCTCACCCACCCCTCCCCATAAAAAGCAATCCCACACGCGAGTAGTTGGCTGTAAACAGTGGGCTTTTTCTATCAAGACTTGCGAAGCTACTGTTCATAAAGTCCAAACCCGTGTGGTCCGGATAGTTGTTTTCAGTTTTGGCATCGCTCTTGCGGTTCGTGGCTCGTAAATTACCGGCTTTGGCCATCCAGATTTGTGGATAATTTATCTCGAACGCCGTGGACAAAATAAGTGGAGGCTGGTTGTTGACGAAATTACAAATATAAATATTGCCGTTTACACGTTTTTGTTCGAACTGGACAATTGCCCCTGGGATGAAAAGAATCCAGGCATCTTTCGTTTCTCGCATAACCACTCGCCGTCACATCATTGATAAAAATCTTCCCTCCAAAGGGAGACTGAACACGAAGAAGAAATAGGGACAGAGAAATGGGATTAAAAACAGCTGTTTACCCTTCTGTATCGATTATCTCTGTTTCAGGTTTCTGCACCCTATATTCCGCCATGCAAAGGTCCCGGAGATGCGAGCAATTTCGATGACTACGATGAAGAACCTTTGAGAATTGCCAATACAAACTACTGTGCGAAAGAGTTTGCCAATTTTTGAACAAGAAGGAGAACAATCAAGAGAACCAAAATAATGGCTTGTGCAATCGAACCAGTTACTTGTATGTTTTCTACCCTCCAACCCCACTGACTAATCAGAAGCTTCCAGGAATACTGCAAAACAGATGCCTTTTGTTCTACCCCCCCCCCAAACCAGTCTCNCCTGACTGCTCCTGGCCCAGATCTTCCGCTCACAACATCCTCAGCTCAGTTGCTCTGTCTCACTCTCGCTCCGTTGTATCTGTCCATTTATCTCACAAAACCCTCACGTTTAACCGTGCACAAAACCAACTGATAACTATAAGGTCAATAGTCCGTTCCCCTCCAACCGGACCACCACCACCACCACCACCACCACCATCACCAGCACCAACCACTGTTGGTCTTTACAAATACGGAGATCTCAGAGTTATCCACACAACCATTCCCCAACAAGAACATGTCAAATTGTCAATGTTTTTTCTTCTTCTGATGGACAGTTCGGAGCGACCACAGTAACTAACACGGATCACGGTTGCTGCCTTTCGTGCACACATGAATTCCTCTGTTCCTTTTCTGGCTCTTACGTACACACACACACACACACAAAATGAATTGAATCCACCTAAAGCGGAAGAATATTTGTCAATGAATTATTATGCATATCTTCATTCGGACAAATGGCCACGACACACACACGACAATCTCTCAACAAACACCAAAAACACAATCGAAAACGGCAAAGAGAAAGCAAAAACAACCAAACAAACAAACATTTTTCGAACAGACAAATTTGTGCATTTTGCCGTTTTTCTTTTTTCTTTCAACTTCAACGCCCTTCAGTCCTTCAGATCCCTTAATGTCTACTGATACCGCATATCAGCGGATAGCCTTACAGAACTCATCCAGCCATAGTAACCAAATGGTTTATTTCGTTGACTTGCTGTTCTTTCTTTATACACCACCCAGAACATCGAACCCATCATTTTTTTCACCATCATCAACAACAACACCAACCCCATGTGTTTGTCTTCAAACCGAATCTGAGTCTGTCCACGACTAGTTCTCAGCTAGCCATCCCCGCGATATCTAGCTTGTTATTGTTGTTGGATGTTTGTTTACCAGCACCACACATTGCCTCCCCTT